ATATTTTTAGGGAAAAAGTAGCGCTTATAAGAACGGTAATACTATATGTGTGCATAGACTTCTCACTCGCTCTTCTATCTCCCCCCCCCCCCCCTCTCTCTCTCACTCTGAAAAAAAATATACAAATTATATGGAATATACCTTTTAATATTTAGACTTCTTAACATGAATTCAAATTTAAGCATTTGTAAATTGCTCAGAAATTAAATATGCAGCATCTTTAATTAAGTCATTCATAGGTCTTCATCGTATTAATCGCTGTTCCAGAGCTAGGAATGTGCATGTCCAATGTCCCGTATATCAACATCAAATGAAATACTTAAACAAAATTATGAATAAATTTACGTACTAAATTGTAATAATATCATATTCCATTTAAAAAATGTCCGCATCAAGTTTCAAATTTTAGTTACACTTTGAAATTCGATTTTCAAAATTCGGTAAACAAAAATTACTTCCGTGTTTACAATACCGCGACTTTGACGTCGTTTTCTGAGCATTGTGACGTCAAAGTACAAGGGCCCTTTTCTCATGACGGCAGTCAATTAAATTATTTACTATACACAAACTATCAAGTAAAAAGTATTAAACATCAATTTATATTTAAAGTTCAAATTAAATATTTTTTAAACAAAAAAAAAACAAGAGGAGTACATTAATTAATAAATTAAATCACTTAGTATAATTTTTTTTTCAAGAACATTAAACTAAATGTATATAATAAAACATTTGTATTTAGCCATTTTTTTATAGAATGGAATTCATAATTATAACCCATAGTATAGAAGGATCCATTTAACGTCAAAGTTAATTGTATTTTACACCAATTTATCTATTTTAATTCCTAATTAAATATTTAATCAATTCACCTTCAAGCAGTCGATTGTCCACAGAGTAATTTTCTATTCTCTGAAAAGATGAAAAAGGATGCATGTCTTTTTAAACGCATGAAAACATATTATATTCATTGTGTTGTTCCGGAAGAAATTGTAAACATTATCATCATGAATATTCATGTTTATGACGCCAGGTGACCTTGAAGCCTACACATAGTAAAATTCCTCATGTGTGTGATTTAAAACGAAACTACTTGAAATTAGGATTTCCTTCGTTCACAGAGAAAGGGTGGATATATATTTGTTGTATCTGCCTGATCGGAATCGAGTGATGATTAAGTGTTAAAGTAAGCAATGGCAAGTAGCCTTTTTGATTTACTTTAAAGTCTGAAATTCTGCTGTTGATATCTATTCTCTATTGAGAAGTCGACGGCTCGTTTCAATACTCCCCTCAACTTCTCTACGAAAGAACTCATAATGGCAGTTCAGAAATCGACTAAATGAAGAACCAAACCGGGTCTCGCTTCGATCGGTGTTTTAGATCTGATGCATCATCATCGATATATTTCTGGTGCACAAATGTCGTTTTGCAATGGAAATGCGATTAAAAAAACCAATTTTACCGACTTAAACCACTCTTATTACGCTAGAACACTTACTTGCGTTATCTGTGTCACCGGATATTTTCCATTCATTCAAATTTCGGCCGTACTCTGTTGACCTCTGTAGAAATGTCAACATGTCTAAACAATGCCGTCCTGATAAATTGGTAGAGTTATCACGCAGCGTCCAAGTTTTAAAGTTAATATTGTAAAGACATTGAACAGTAAACTTTGTTTTGTTTTGTGTGTCAGTGTGTGTGTGTTTGTGTGTGTGGTTTTTTTTTTTTTACTTATTTCAATGGACTCCAGTAATTACTAATATTTATTTACTATTCACCCCCCCCTTTTTAGTTTATTGATTTTTTAATTTGTTTTATACATATATTTTTAATATATATAAATCAAATATATATAAATATATTTAATATGTATATGAAATATATATATATTTAATAGCAGCAAAAACCGAAGCAAGCAAAATTTTTTCATCATTTATTACACATATTGGTAGTGGGGGAGGGGGGTGTTGACTTAGTGGTCAAATAAACATTTATTACGTACTCTCTCACCATGCACATTATTCGACATGAATTTCCTAAAATTTTGCAGTGTTTCGCCTTATTTTGTCTAACTCTTTTGATCGTTGCACTAATTTCTTCTGAAGCCTTTCTGGAAATAAAGTATTAATATCGAACGAAAAAATGGTTTGATTACATTATCTGCGGATGTCCGGCACAGTATTACAATCAGTGACAATTACTATTATTATTTAAATCATTGCTGTTATGGCATATTATGACAGTTACTTAAACAGGGACCTATATACTCAGTATATAAGTCCCTACTTAAAATACTCAGTACTTTTTTTTTAAATATCGAATAACCAACAAACCAACAAAAAAGTATAAAAATTATGCTTAAATTAATACAATTTTTAATATTATGAAGCTCCATCATTTTTTCATACCAATATCAATGTCATTTTGTACAATATTAAAACTTGGACGCTGCGTGATAACTCTCCCAATTTATCAGGACGGCATTGTTTAGACATGTTGACATTTCTACAGAGGTCAACAGAGTACGGCCGAAATTTGAATGAATGGAAAATATCCGGTGACACAGATAACGCAAGTAAGTGTTCTAGCGTAATAAGAGTGGTTTAAGTCGGTAAAATTGGGTTTTTTAATCGCATTTCCATTGCAAAACGACATTTGTGCACCAGAAATATATCGATGATGATGCATCAGGTCTAAAACACCGATCGAAGCGAGACCCGGTTTGGTTCTTCATTTAGTCGATTTCTGAACTGCCATTATGAGTTCTTTCGTAGAGAAGTTGAGGGGAGTATTGAAACGAGCCGTCGACTTCTCAATAGAGAATAGTTGATATCTAAAATGCAATGTAGGAAGTTAAAAGGTAAATAACTCTAGTCAGGTGTTCCCATTTGTTTCTACGTAAATATTCTAAAAAAATAAAATAAGCAGTTTAACTTATTAAGAACACATATTTTTAAGGTTCAAAATCACAAAAATTAAGGAATCTATATTATGTACATGTAAGATGAATTTTGTTAAGATTGTACAATGTTTATCGGGACAAAAAAGAAAACGAACGTTACGTTAGCTATCAAATTCAGTGATTTTTATCAAGGTTTTGTTTAAATCAGACTGCTGTACCTGACTTTTAAAAAAACGTTATTTGCATTATCAGGAGGTTAACATGACGTTTAACAGCTATATACACATTATATAGCACAACTTATTATTGTACTGTAATGTGTACTATCGATATTCCAATTAGGAAGAGGGGGGGGGGGGGGGGTCATAAATACCAAAATTCAAAATTTACTTTGATTTAAGTTTCTAAAAGTATCTTTATTTTCAAATCAAATGAACTGCTCAAACCCTTTTTATTGAGGAGTGCGTTTATTAAAAAAAAAACAGCAATGAATAACAATAAAATAATAAGGTCACATATGTTAACTTTTAAGATGTAGAAGAAAACCTTTTTTTCAATTGATCTTTTAACCATTCATTCTGAGGAAAACTAGTTAAAAGATGCATTGCTTGGTTATACATTTTAACTCACTTGGAAATCTGACGAGAGAGAGAGACACACAGAGAGAGGGAGAGAGTATCATGCATGTCATACATTTATATGGCAATTAAACAAGAAGTTCAAAGGTTCATTTTTTTCATCCTAGCGTTATTTGTTTAATTAGAGTGTCTTAAAACGCTTTTCCTACTATTTACATACATGTGTATAAAATATGTGAAACCTTAAATCACTTTGAATCACCAATTGTGCACATATTTGTTTTAGTAATTTAGTTTATTTCTAATGGCGTAAATTATTTTTAAAGGTTGATTTATCATTTCATCAGTTGATTTTATAACTCTTATATTTTCCTGTCTCAGGTAGGCTGCTGCCAAGAAGTATCATTAAATAATGCAATATGTTGCTTAAAAATGTATCATTTTCTGTATGTTTCAATATTTACTGTATCAACGAATAGATGTGATTTAAAAAAAACTTTTTGATGCGATGGGTCGTGAACAGTTAGGTAAAATGAATAAGAGTTTTTAAAATTTGCCTCAAAAGAATGTCATCCGGGTGTATGATTCATTCATCAACTCATTGTGTGCATTGTATTCCCTCGCAAATGGCTGGAAAATATTAAGCAAAGGCCTAGTGTATTTCGTTCTATAAAACAAAAAGATATATAGATGGGTATACAACATATTAATGAAGCTTAAGGGAAAAGGAAATCCGAAATTAAATAACAATTTTCAGGACATGCATGTGTTTTAATGTCCACGTTTTCGTGAATGTTGCAGAATAACCTCCGAGGTCGAGAAATGTTGTTTGAAATATAAAAGCCGAGGCGTTAGCCGAGGCTTTTATGTTTCAAACAACATTTCGAGACCAAGGAGGTTATACTGCATCATTCACGACAACAAGGACTTTATTTCTATTCTACAAAGGGCGATAAATACAGCCGATTGTTTCCTCTATAGAGAAACGAATTAGGTCACCATGTCTCCATTACGCTGTTCTATTTAACACCAGAGAGAAATTTTGTTGACTTACCTATATATGGAATGCAGACAATTTGAGCTTTCGTTGCATTAGAAATAGTCTTGTTTAATTACAAATTTGTTCGTTACATGTATTGATCAGTTAAAATGAATATACAAAAACAAAATCATGATCTTGTTTTACTGCTAAAATCACGTTGGTTAATGTGTAGGGAGGTCCGTGGAATAGCCCCGCTTAGCTATAAAAACCGACATTCATCAGCAACTTGATACAATTTACAGTGTTTATACTGCAAAAGACGACACATCGATGAGGTCTAAACAAGTATTTTATTCTACAGCTAAACATGCATTGGAATTGTTCAGATTTGATACGTGTTTCTGATCTGATAATTTTTTGATGACGTTCATGAATTATTGGAGAATAATGTCCGGCGGCTTCCTTTGAAGTTTTCAATAACCGTGGTAGAATTATTGAATATCCCCCGTAAACTTTTTATGTGAACATTTTTTTCTTTTGCAGAAAATGTAAAATCAATTAGAAGAGGAATATGTTGGGTGTTATATATGACCTATTCTTGTGAGGTTCCATGTGCCTCGTTACAATAAGGTTGTAGCTGTGTAAAAATGGCAGTTTCTTAAATCCAAACATAATTTTTCTTCATATTTCTTAAGAAATCTCAATTTAACATTATTGATCAAGATTGATAAAATTGATTATTTAGGAAATGAACGTGGAGTTAAAACCAGTGATGTCATGTCCTACAAACGCCAGTTCGTGGCTGAGCAATGGCATTAAGTTACAGTGTCCCAATGATACACTAGGGAGGAACCTGTACCAGTGTGTACCTAATGATGACAGATCTTCACTTGTGGAATTTTGTCTTCAAGGGAGTATTGGCAGATATGGAGCAAGTAAGTCAGCTTATTCTTCTTGAATATAAGTAAACAATATTGTAATTTGATTTTTATTCTGCTCCTGTAAATGTATTAATTTACAAAAATATGGTTTATTTAATTTAAAGATTTGTGCCCTTATGCTGTATCCACTGGACACCTGGACGCTCTCAACTGCTCAACATTTCTCAGTGGTTGTCCAGAAGAATCCTACAATACAAATGAAGTGTACAAATGTAATTATAAGCATTTTGTTGCATATAAAATATAAAAAAAATATTTTAATCGCATTGCCTTAATATTCTGTTGAATCAACGTTTCAGATCACGCCTGCTTGGAAATAAATCCAGAGGAAAAATGCTATTTTGCAAATGAAAACTGTCCAAATGATTCAATGTAAGGCACTTTTACTTTTTATGCTTTATTGTTAATCAGCTTTCAAAATATTTTGCTAACTGTAATTATTGGACTATAAAAAAGCTCTTTGCTCAAAATCAAATTAATTTTCAGGTCCATTTCACAAAACACTACCTATGTATTTCAACCAGAGGATGATACTACAGCAGTTATTGCTGGTGTTGTTTCCACCGTCATCATAGCTCTGATTGTTCTCGTAGTTTTATATCTCCTTTACCGCAGACGCCTAAGGAACCGTAGAAATCGCTGGAACAGTGATACATGTAAGTAAAATTCATTGCAGCATGCTCTTATAAATCTTTCTGTCGACGGAACTTATGTTTTCAGTTTTTTATTGAGCGGTAAAAAAAATCGATGTGGAAGTACAAGGAAATATACAATCCCCAATAATGAACTGTTTATTATGCACGAGAATAGGATTAAGATCGTGTACAATTTAAACGACTTACTTGTGCAATTATCGGTGTACAAATCTTTGCAAATTAACAACTTTATTAACCTTTTCGAACAACAAAATAATATTTTTCAAATCGCAATCGAGAACTAAACAGATATTATCATTTAAATCAACTTCAGAAATATTGCATGTAAAAGTACTGTATTAAGTAAAAATTCAGAAAGTGATGAAAAGACATGGCATATTTTGATGACCAGTATTTATGTGATTAGAATTTCCATTTTCTATTATCTTTACATGATAAAAGTTTATTTTATGAGTTTTTTTCTAACAAAAATAATGGTGACTCCCCTTTGGCGCTTGATTTCACCTAAAGTATTTCTGAAAGATTAAATTAAGAGACTACAGTTATGGACAGCTTAGGTGTCAAATCGCCATTATTTCATTTTATTATACCTCTACTGATTCCTTCCTATATAAAAGTAAGGCAGTTAAATGTTCATGATTTCCTAGAAATTTTAGCAAATCGACTAATTCCCCGTGCGTTAATTCAATGAGCTAATCCCTGCTTCGTATGGCTAATTCCCCGGTTATCCGTAATCCTGTAGTTTTTACTTTTGTATCGGTCTAATATCGGTCTAATATGTTACATGTAATGGACTTATTCCCCGTGCATTAGTCTTGAAGCTAATTCCCCGCCATTCGTAATCCTCTATTTGTATCGATATAATAAAACAGTTAAAAAGTATATCATTGAGGAAGTCAGCAAGATTCCAATCAGCAAGATTGTATTACCTTATTTGCCTATATAACAATGACGTACCTGAAAAACATACCAATCCTCTTGGGTTTTGTTCAAAAATATATATGAACAATTCGATTGCATTGATTTCAGTTATTTTATACTTAATGATTGAAAATGATATTGTAAAGAATGTATTAAATAGAAGCCCAAATTATACTGGTATTACAAGCGATGGAACAGTTTGTGCATTTTAATAAAACGATATGCGATTTAGAAAGCGTTAACAGTACAGCTCAACCCAGATTATACAGTGTTATTTCGGTTTCAGTTCATTCATTACAGATACTGTCTTTTATTAAAATGATTTCACATTCTTGAAAGTTAACTAAAAGACATTCAATCAGAACATTTCGAATGAAAAGTTAGGGGAATTTAGTATTTACCTTTATCTGTAAACAACTCTGTACAATAAATATTAAAACTTCATTGTAGTCAGGAGGAATGCATAAAGCGGTATATGTTCATTACGCAGTTCGTGTTGGATACGCATCAAGTCAAATAAATTTTACAAAAAAAGATAATTATGTAGGGATCTGATTTTAATTTATATTTTATGCATACAATAATTATTTCGGGATAACGTTTAAAAGTATATCGTTTATGTTCGGAAAAAAATCCTTGAGAATTTAAGATCTACCTTTTGCTTTTGAATTCGTATCCAAAATTTCTTCATTAGACTACTTTTTTTAGTTTAATTGAATCATGTTTAAGCCGCAAAAATGAGTCTTATTATAAAACTATAAAATACATGTCGATTCTACTTTACAATATTTGTTGTGGGTTGTTCTACTATTTTATACTGAGTGAATATGCCAGTTGTTTATCCTTTTGAAAGAAAGTCAGCCATATCTTTAGACCGAAATAATACCTGATACCATTGTTCTCAACCTCGATTTAGGAAGCAAATCTAATTGTGATTGTGATTGCTTAATAATCGCGCTGATTAATTTTTTTTGATTATGTAGTTATAAATATAAGACGTAATATGAATGCAGAATATGAACATCCACTATTAAGAGTCATACACAATTATGTAAACATTACTTGTAATTACAGTTCAGCAGCTTTTACTTTTATAGCTCACCTTCACGAAGTCTAGATGGGCTTATGCTATACCACCGGCGTCAGCGTTGATGTCGGTGTTGGCGTCCCGGTTAAAGTTTTAGTAGCAGGTCCATTCCCAAGTAACTATAAGCCCTACCTGGATCAAACTTGCATGATGATGCATCTATGATTAAGCACTACCAGATTTGCTATGGATGCTGGATTTGACCTATATTTTCCAGATGAGTGACCAGGTTAAAATTTTAAGAGAAGGTCCATTCCCAAGTAATTATAAGCCGTATCTAGACTCAATTTTTGGAGCAAGTCTATTTCCAAGTAACTTTAATTCTTACCTAGACCAAACTTGCATGGATGATGCTTCTAGGGATGTACACTACCAGACGTGCTTTGGGTGCTGGATCTGACCTTTATGTTCTAGATAAGCCCTACCCGGATTTACTTGCATGGAGGATGCATCTAGGGATTGACACTACCGGCCTTGCTCCTGATGCTGGTTCCGAACTTTATTATCTAAGTAAGTGACTAGGTTATTCCATATAAACTATGGTAATATAATCTTTACCAGGACCAAACTTGCATGAATGATGCATCTAAGAATGGCCTATCGAAACTTGTATCAGATGCTGTATCTGACCTACATTTTCCAGACAAGTGACCAGGTTAAAGGTTTTTAGAACAGGTCCATTGCCGAGAAACTATCAGCCTCGATCTACCCAGACTTAGCTTGCATGGATGATGCACCTGGGGATGGACATTTCCAGAGTAGTTTCAGATGCTGAATCTGACCTTATTTTTGGAATAGGTTAATCTCCAATTAACTTTAAGACTTATTTAACAGAACATGCTTGAATATTACTGTTAAGAAAATATGATGTGAGATTTGTATTACTTAAACTGATAAAATTCGACGAGGTGAGCTTCGTAATCTTTGATTACCTATGTTTTATAATAATTTCAGGGGATGAAGTAGACGAAAGAGCCACTTTGCTTCTTAAAGGTAAGAATTAATAGATGAAATACTCAGAAATCATTTTTTTTATTTTCCTACTTTCGCACGTTTTGTTCAACATATGCATGGAGATAACCTTAATCAGCTTATAATTTACAATATGGAAATTGAATTGATTTGAATTAAGAAAACACCATAAACTATTTTAAATATATAGCAGGTTTTTTTTTTTAAATATTATAGTTTTTTTTCTCTCCCGAGATAGCTGGCTAAATGACTACATAATTAGTTTTCCACCTATGGAGAAACCTCGCCATACAGCAGGTTTTCCGCCACAGTAGGGTTTTGATTAAGACTTTTAACAAGAGGCCAATAAAATATATCCCTCAACTGAGCACACAAAGTTATAAAAAGCACAGATCAGTTCGGTATTGAACAGAGGTAGGGAGGGGGTGAAACACTTACATTTACACTGCCTCGGGGCTTTCATCTTATAAAGAAGACGACTTTGAAGATATTTTTGCAAACTCCTTTGTGAAATTTGATCCTCTTTTGTGGCCTGGCCTTACCTCCGGAGATTTCTATATTAACCACGTGTAACTGCCCAGGCGCAGTCAGTTCAACCCTGGTCACAAAACTTAGTCCAAAAACACCAGGAAACTGGTAGATCAGTTTATTTGACACAAGTGACAAGTGGTAAAAGGCTGTAAACAAATACAGAAAACAGAGTTACAAATATGAAGTAAACACAACAAGCATTACTCAATACTGTACTCTATACACGATATATAGATATGGATATTGACTAGTAACCATATACCTGTATGACTAATTGACTGATAAAATGACTTAAAACACAGTATTACATTTAATACACCATGACTTTA